ACAGAAGTCTTATAGTGGTGAAACATCTAGTATTCGATGTTATCACTGTAAGAAGGAGGGTCACATAAGAAAGGTGCGCCCTGAATGCCTGAAAGATCATGGAGGTAATGGTAATGCAGCCATTGTTCAAGATGACTTTGACTCATCTGATGTTCTTGTGGTTTCAAGTGGCGACTCGAGGAAAGAGTGGATTATGGATTCAGGTTGCACTTGGCACATGACTCCAAACAGTGAATTGTTCGAGGAGCTATGTGATCAAGATGGTGGATCTGTGCTCTTGGGAAACAACAAATCTTGCAAAATTGCAGGTATTGGATATGTGAGATTCAAGCTCCATGATGACTCCATGATGAGTCAATAAGGTTATTGACTGAAGTCAGGTAAGTACCTGACTTGAAGAGAAATTTGATTTTTCTTGGTGAATTCGACAGAAAAGGATACGTTTTTCAAGGAGAGAAAAGTATCCTAAGAGTCATGAAAAGGTCGAAGGAAGTCTTGAGAGGCGTGAAGAAACAAGGCTTGTATACCCTTGAGGCTGAGGTTATAAGTGGTTTGACAAATGTTGCATCCACGAAACCTATGTCGAAGACAAAATTATGGTACATGAGATTGGGCCATGTCAGCGAAAGAGGCCTGGTTGAATTGGGGAAGCAGAACCTTCTAGGAGGTGACAAAGTCGAAAAGTTGGAATTTTATGAATCTTGTGTATTTGGTAAATCCTGTAGGGCGATGTTTAACAAAGGCAAGCAAAGAACACATGGATCCCTGGATTACATTCATGCTGATCTTTGGAGCCCTGCAAGGAATCCTTCACACTCAGGTGCAAGGTATTTTCTATCCATCATTGATGACTATTCCAGAAAGCTATAGGTATTCATTCAAAAGATGAAGGATGAAACTTTTGAGAATTTCAAAAGTTGGAAGATTCTGGTCGAAACTCAAACTGGAAGAAAGGTTAAGAGGTTGAGAACTGACAATGGCCTTGAATTCTGCAACAAAGCGTTCAACAGTTACTGTGTTGAGTCTGGGATTGCAAGGCATAAGACTGTAGCAGGTACTCCTCAACAAAATGGCTTAGCTGAGAGATTCAATCGAACAATCCTTGAAAAGGTTAGATGCATGTTGGTTAGTGCTGGATTGAAGAAGGTGTTTTGGGTGGAAGTTGTTTCGGCAGCAACTTACCTGATAAGTAGATGTCCCTCGACTTCCTTGGGAATGAAGACACCTGAAGAAGTTTGGTCGGGACATCCACCTAGTCTCGACAGACTGAGAGTATTTGGCTATATGGCCTATGCTCATATTAGGCAAGACAAGGTTGAACCTATAGCTCTGAAGTGCATGTTCATGGGATACCCTGAAGGAGTCAAAGCTTATAGGCTATGTGCCTAGAGCCACGTCACAGGAGGTGTATTACCAGTCGAGATGTAGTTTTCAATGAAGAAGAGATGGCTTTCAAGAAAACTGCTGATGCTGAAGAAGAGCTGGAACAGGGAGACATTCCTGTTGAGGTGGAGCATGTTGATGCTGAATTGCTTACCCCAGATGAAGTCGAAGAAGACGCGGAAGATGTTGTCGAAAATAAGAATACTGATAATGACTACCTGCTAGCAAGAGACAGGTCGAGGAGAGTCATCAAGTCACCTCAGAGACTTGGGTATGCAGATCTTATAGTTTATGCCTTAATCTCTGCAAGTGAGGTTCTAGACGAAGAACCTATAGACTATAAGGAAGTTATGAGGAGTCGAAAAAAGACTGAATGGTTGAAGGCCATGGATGATGAGATGGAATCTCTTCATGATAACAACACCTGAGAACTGATCAAGAAACCTACTGGAGCTAGGTTAGTCAGTTGTAAATGGATTTTCAATGTTAAGGAAGGAATCCAAGGAGTGGCATCGAAGAGATACAAGGCAAGATTGGTTGCTAGGGGGTTCACTCAGAAAGAAGGTATCGACTTTAATGATGTGTTCTCTCTTGTTGTGAAGCACAGATCCATTCGAATGTTGCTTGCCATGGTGGCCCAGCTCGACCTTGAACTGGAACAGATGGATGTGAAGACTGCGTTCTTGTATGGTGATCTAGATGAAACAATCCTGATGAGGCAACCTGAAGGGCATGTCGAAAGGGGGAAGGAAGATTATGTGTGCAAACTGAGTAGATATTTATATGGACTAAAACAATCTCCTCGACAGTGGAATAGGAGATTCGACAAGTTCATGGCACACATAAGTTTCATCAAAAGTCAGTTCGACCAATGTGTTTACTTCAGATTTCGACCGGGTAATTCATTTGTTATTTTGTTGTTCTATGTGGATGATATTCTAATAGCAAGCAACAATGTTGAAGAGGTAATGAGGGTGAAGGTTGAACTCAATAAAGAGTTCGTCATGAAGGATCTGGGAGTTGCGTCCAGGATTCTTGGGATTGACATCCGGAGAGATAGAAAGCAGTCAAAATTATGCTTATCTCAAGAGGCATACCTACAGAAGGTTCTCGAAAAGTTTGATATGTCGAATTCAAAGCCTGTTGTGACTCCGATAAACCCTCAATTCAAGCTGAGTATAGATCAGTGTCCCAACACTAATGTTGAAAGAACTTATATGAATAGCATTCCATATGCTAACATAGTAGGTTCTTTGATGTATGCTATGGGCTATACTAGACCCGACATAGCATATGCAGTGAGTTTTGTAAGCAGGTACATGGTGAATCCTGGAAAGGCTCACTGACAAGCATTGAAGTGGATTTTAAGGTACATAAACGGGTCTCTGAATAGAGTCATAATTTATGGTGGAGCCTTGGGTGAAGATAGTAAAGCAGCAATCGAAGGATATGTCGACTCTGATTATGCAGGTTGTATGGATTCCAGAAAATCTATCTCTGGATATGTGTTCACTATGTTTGGGACAACAATCAGTTGGAAAGCAACACTTCAGAAGGTCGTTGCCTTATCAACCACTAAAGCGGAGTATATTGCCCTAACTAAAGCTGTGAAGGAAGCATTATGGCTTGAAGGTTTTGCAAAGGGGCTAAAACTTCAAGGTCGAGTTATCACTGTTAAATGTGATAGTCAAAGGGCAATACACATGTCGAAAAATTCAGCCTATCATGAGCGAATCCATCACATTGATGTGAGGTTGCATTTCATCAGAGGGGTAATCGAGCATGGAGAAGTCCAAGTGCTGAAGGTTTCGACAGATCATAATGCTGCTGATATGATCACCAAGACGTTGCTCAGTTGCAAGTTTTTCCACTGTATGCAATTAATAAAGTTGCATGAAAAAAGCTAGTTTCTTGATGTTATAGAGTTAGATCCAAGGTGGAAATTTGTGAGATGTTGGATCAAACTCTAGTATGGTCGAAGTCTGTTCGCGTGGAATGCATGTTGTAGTCGAAGTTTGTTCTAACATGCATTAGTCAATATTGCTAGGGTTGTTAGCTTGTCGAATTAGGCCTTTCTTATAACCCCAATTGTTTAAGTTAGCTTGTACCCTAAGTTAGCTTGTAATGGATAATTGTTAAAAAGCCCATTAGGTTAGTGTACTATATTTCGTATAAATAGGATACTAGTTTCTCAATCTTGTGATAAGGAAAAATAGGAAGATAAAATCCTAATTTCAAGAGAGAGAGGTTATTTTGTTATTCTTGTATACTTGTAATCTTGTTCTAAGAGAAAGGAAAAAATATCAGTTTAATAACCAATCCTTGTTGTTTTCTTATTTGTTAACCCTAACCCTTGTGTGTTTCTTGATCATTAAGAAACTGTCTATACTTGGTTTTAAGGTATCTGATTCACAACAGAGGGTTTGATAAATAGTGGACATTAGTCCAAGTAAACCAACGGTACATAGAGGGATTTAGAAGAATCGCCGAAGAGCAAGTCTCCGTCCAAAATGGTTAATACCATTACTAAAAGGGAAAAGGTTAGCAGTGAAGAGAAATGGGCGAACACTTATGGCAGGTCCACTTAGTCATGTTTAAGACCTCATTATGTTATTTTTCTTTGTATAATTCATTACCTCAACTTAATGTACCAGGGTATTTTCATTTTAATAAAGAAAACTTCTTTTTGAAATATCTCTTTTCTTTGTGTTTGTGGTACGACGAAAGAGATCAAGGCCCTAACGCAATGACACCAGAGTGTTGTCATACATGCCACATGTAAATGATTTAAGTAATCAAAATTCCATGATGCAAAGCACACACATAAAGAATGTAGAAAAACCAATATATCCTAATTAATCGGTCCATCCTCCTCTTATTAGCAGTCTTCTTCCAAAGTAAACGTCTAATGCTGTTTTGGAGTAGGTGGTGATGCCTAGCCAAGAGGATTTGAGATAGAGGACCTAAGAGCATCTTCAACCGTGAACTTATTTTTAGGTTCTGTGCGGGACCTATTAATCCACGTCAGCTTGAAGCAACTCAATTAATTTTTCACGCTAATAGTGCAATTCTAAAGAACTCATATTGGGTTTCACAACTTTAAATAAATAATTATATGTCGTTGAAGAACGTTGCATAATTATATGCGGTTCAGCAACATGACAATGTTGGAAACAACAAATATGGGTGCCATGCTGGCAAACCCACTTTAACAACTCCCATTGGAGTTAGCCTAACATACACAACACCCTTCGGGAATCTTCGGGTATACCAACATCTATACTAGGCTCTAAGTTGTCCCTCTCGAGAATTTGACAGAGAGGGCTGAGGCAAAATCCCCATCATCCTAATCATAGGAGGAACTTTGACTGACATTGAAGTGTTCAAAAGACCACTTTAATTCCCTTTTTTATTCAAAGATGATTTCTTCATTTTTCATCAAATCTACCAATGACAATATTAAAATTTAAGGGCATAACATATAACAAGAACAGACGATTCGAGGGTAAAAAACACAGGGAGCTCCATCAACAAACAGGTTTCAAATGTAAATAAAGTAGAATAGAAAAATGTAGAGAAAGAAACAAATAAAGTAAGAGATAAAAGAAAAAACTAACCAAACATTTCTCTCTGAATGGCAACATGAAGGATGCTAGTATCATTGTTATTGATAGCAATATTGATATCATATGGAAAAAACTGTTGTAGATAAACAAAGACTAATCTTTTACGTGCACGCACAGCCCAAAAAAGTGGTGTTTCTCCATTTGCATTTTTCTCTTGAATCAAATATTTCCTTTCACCTTCTTTTCCAATTATATCTTCACACACATCTGTGAATCCTCTATATGCTGCAAGGTGAAGAGGAGTAGCACCTATTTCATTCACCATTCTCAAACTACTTTCATCGTCAAGCTTTTCTATTGCTTCTACAAGACTTTTCACTTCTTTTTTGCATCCATTACTTACTGCCACATGCAATGCTGTTCCTCTTCCCTTTATCTCTATTTTGTGAAAATTACTATCTGCTTCGTATTTTTCAATTACTTCTTGCCATTTGTCTTCCATTACTAGCTCGCGGAACTCCGTAGCTAAGTAATTTCATTTTGCAATTTGAGTTAATTAACAACAAAATGTAAACAAGATAGTGAGTGTTAATATATAAGGAAAATTTACACGTACCTTCATGATCCTGATAAGATTGAGCTACTGACAAATTAGGTGCCATTAACTTGAAGATTGAAATGTAGAATGGGAATAAGAATTAGTAGGGATGAGAATTAGGTACTGCAAGCTTAATTTTGTTATATAAGAAAAGTTAAGAATCCAATAAACACGAGTTTAACGCTGAGAATCTATTACTTCCATTTTCTTTTTTTTCTTGTAATATGAATGGTGAATTTTATTAGTTTTAGTAAATTTTAATAATAAAATTTGTGTGTCATTTTCACTTTTCAAATATAGTAAGGATTACAATTTTTTTAATACTTCTAATACTTTAATAAAAATAATTTAGTAAAAATATGTTTTATGACAACATTATTGTATTCTTTAATTTGTGAGAAAAATCTTACATAATAGATATTTTGAAATGGAAATAGTAATACTTTTTATTAATTAAAAATTAAATTTTTTTAACCTGACATGTTGTGAACAATTGAGTTTTGAGCAATGCTTTAAAAATTGAACGCCATCAAACTGATATGAGCAATGAGTATGTGGTTTATTGATCGAACTATTAGATTATAAATTGAACTGCAAGACTAAACTGAATAATTTAAATAAATAAATTAATTTATATAACAAAATTATATAGTTATTAAAATGGTCAAATCAAATAACTCTCTCTAAAAAATTAATGACATTTACAAATTTTAAAATTTTAAAAATATCATGATTTCATCACTTCATTTTTTAAATTCAAATTTTAAACATTATCAAATAAATTTTTGAAAAAAATTTAATTGCAACATAAACTAACAACAAAAATAATAACAATATCAGATAAGTTAATTATAAGAGAGGAAATTGTTTCAAATAAATTTTGAAAAATATTTACTTATATTATATTATTATTTTATTTAAATTTGCAAAAGGACATCATTTATTCTAAGAAAAAAATATAAATATTTAACCAATCAATTTTTCAAAACCGTCAATTCACAAGATTCTATCGATTTTGACCAGGTTTAATTAGTTTCCACTAATTCATTAGCTAACATAAACCAACAATCAAACTAAATTAATAATGATTCTCAATTCAATCGGTTCGATCGACCTGTTGGTTTTTGTTTTTGAAACACTAATAGACTTTTCTCAAGATCTCAGCATCTCCTTAGGTTCTAAAATTTCTTGTGTTAAACCATTTCAAACGTAACAATGTTCTAATTTTAAATAAGTGTCCACAGTTGGAGGATGGTTCTTCTCTAAAATTATTCGGTAGCAAGTCGATTACAAATATTTTTTAAAATAAAATTTAATGTTTTTTTTAAATGCCACCTTTAAATTATATTTTGTATAAATAGACACTTTTTCTAAAACTTATTTCTCTTTGTTATAATTTGAGTTTTACCATCTATTTGAGCCGGTTAATATTTTTAAATGATTATTATAATATTTTTCAATGTTGTATTTAAAATTTAAAAATATTTTTTTACAATATTTGAATTTAAAAATTAGTTTAAACGTTATTAAGAAAAATTCAAGTTTTATATTAATTAGAAAAGCAGTATATATATATATTCATCTTTAATTTTCTTTTTTCAAGTCAAATAGTAGTATTTTATTCCTTTCTTCAAAGGGAGTGAAATGTATAATATGATGACAAAAGCAAAAGTGCAGTATGTTCACTTCTGAGTGAGACGCAAGCTTAAGCAGATTTTGGTCTAAAGTAAAAGCTACCTTCTTTTTCTATTTTATAGACTAATATAAGGCCTCTAGTATCACGTCTTGTAGAATCCAACTATAAAGCACAATACTCGATATAGAGATCTCATACGCATCCGATACATACATGTAGATATTTCTTATAACTTATTCACGAGCACATTTATTAAAGAAAGCCCAAGGGACTATGTTATTTTTAGGATGAGTCGTGTTCTAAGTTGTTTTCTTTAAAATGTTTTGCTGTATTTTTAATAATTATATAATGCAGTTGAGTTTTAACGACGTTTTTGGGATAAAATAGTCCTTTAAAAATTACAATTCTTATTTTTATTGAAATAAATCGTTCAAAAAAAATACACTTTTAGATGGTGTTTAAAGAACTTGTAGTATCTAGAAATAATTCAGTCGTTAAAAACTAAAACAAAAACAATAATTTGAGATGAAGAGAATGAGAGGAAGAAGAGAGATTTCAGAATGTTTATAAATCTGGAGTGACTTGCAAATGAACCGAAGAACTCTACTTTTAGGTAAGGGATTCAACTGAGTGGAACGAAAATCGTGGGAGAAAGAAGAGAGATTCCGAAATGTTTGAAATTCTAGAGTGATTTGAGGAACTCTGTTTATAGATAAGAGATTCAACTGAGTGGAACAAAAATTGGGTGAGGGAGTTGAAAATTCCAGGCCCATTATTAGCTATTTTTCCTTGGTGACCAAGTCAGACTCTAACTCATTCTTGGAGGGTAAGGCAAACTGCGTCAAAACTAAGTTAAGATTATGTTTTGATGAGTTTCACGGAAAAATAATTAATAAAGAATAAATTTTCATTGATAAAATTAATTAATTCGTAATTAGTTAAATTTCACCAATTTAGGTTCCAAAAAATTAATTTATCTAGACAGGATCAAACCAAACTGAGTTGGCCGGTCGGAGAGCAGACAACACGCGCGTATGTGTCTAGATGGCTTGTCGTTGTGTCCTCACTCCTTTACAAAATTGGATATCCCTTGGGGCCAAATCCATTTGGCCAAGTTGGAATATATACACAGTACTAATATTTGTGTTCCCTCCTATGTGGATCTAAAATGAATCCTTTCAAATTCACTACCATATTAGTTCTTACTTGTGCTCATTTATTGTCCATATAAAGTCAATAAATCATTTCAATTCTCACTTCGTGTTTTCATCATTCTAAGATTTCCAACAATCTTCCACTTGATTTAAAAGGTGATTTTAGAAGTAACGTCAAACATTTTTAAGATTGTGCATACGCAAAGGTGTCTACGACTTGAACCTTTGCGTAGCAAGTAGGATTCTAATTCAACAAGAGTGACACTATTGTTTTGAACTCTGTATTAGACATCAGACCCATACACAATCGTTTCTTAAGGTTTATTCTAATAGCTCGTGCTTTAATGGCTTGCATGTATATCCCGATTTAGTGAAGACTCTAGGAAATATTCCTTACAATTCCATAGGAATCGGCCTAAGTTCCACAATCACAAAAGTGAATCAATCAAGAGTACTCCTGTAGCCTATGTACTCCCTCATACAAAGTATAAATCTCATTAAGAGCTTATATAATCTCATTATCTTATTACTTCAATATTCATGTTTCACGTGCATGATCATCTCATATTACTTACAACTTATTATTACTCATTGAACCTATTTCTTAGGATCTCCAGTCATCTAGGCCGGGTTACCATAATTAGCAAATCATTTCTTTATAGGCATTAGTCCCATCTTCTTGGATATATTATGGACTTTCTCTCTAACTAATTCTTTCGTCAAAGGATTTGTTAAGTTTTCATTACTAAGTACATGATCCACTCTTAAAGCTCATTTAGAGATACAATCTCTGATGGTTCTGTGCTTTCTTCTTATTCTACGTCTTTTACCATTATAACAACAGTTCTCAATATTTGCAATAGATGCGGTAATATCATAGTGGATCAACATAGCTGACATCTGTTTTTCCCATAATGGGATCTTAGCTAGCAACCATACTGACCAACTTGCTACTTCACTAGTTGTGGCTAGTGCTATCATCTCAAACTCCATTATGGACTGAGCCAAGATAATCTGTTTCTTTTATATCCAAGATACAACTCCTCAAACTATACTAAATATAAGCCACTAGTTGCTTTGGAATCATCTGATAAGGTGTTCTAATATGCATCATTATACCCTTCTAGTAAAGCAGGAAACTTCTGATAATGTAGGTTGAGATCCAAGATCCTTTTAAGATACTAATCAGTGGGTTTTATATATTATTTTACCGTTAGTTTCAGTTGATCATTTGTTATGTCTTGTCGCATTTTATTTGTTTTTATTAAATTTTACACGCCGATTTGGTATTTTCATTGTTTCTAGGTTCAGGTAAACAATAAAGGAGAATCAGAGCAAGAACCGGGGAAAATGGAAAGAATTCGGAAGATCTTTGAAGTGGACCAGGAGCCTGACACGGACGCCTGTGTCAGCTGACACGGCCCTTGTCAGGAAGTGCTCAGAAAGACAAAATTTGGTGGAAACCAGGGACCTGACACGATCGCCCGTGTCAGCTGACACGACCGCCCGTGTCAGCTGACACGGCCCGTGTCAATACACCTGGGACTTGGAAAAATCTTGTAAAAATTGTAACAGGAAGCCAACACGGCCGCCCGTGTCAGCTGACACGGCCCGTGTTGGTTAAAACACTTCATTCTCTATTTTTCTTGTATTTTTGACACTTGTGATCCATGAGGGTATTTTAGGTATTTCCTTGGTGTTGAGTTTGAGTTGAGACTATTTGGTACGTGTTTGGAGGAAAGAGAAGGTACTTTTTGGACAGAAAAGAATTTCACGAAGAAGATTGCAGCGATCAAGGATTGGGGAAACTGAAGGTTCTCATGAGCGGAAGCGATTGAAGATCAAGGCGACCCTACTATCTTGTAATGTTCAGTCTAATTGTTGATTTTATTTTAAATATTATGAGTAGCTAAACTCCCCAATGCTAGGGGTGTCCCTGAATTGACTTTGTAATGACCTTGTTTTCTTTGAATTAATCGTGTCACTGCTTTCTAATCATCGTTGTTATCGCATAATGTTTTAATGCTTTTTTTATCTGACAAATAAGGATTTGATTTACGGTTAACCTTAGGTTTGGAAAAACGATTGTTAACGCGTTTATACGATAATACTATAGTAGATATTGCCTAAGAATGGGGATACCCTGTAGTAACCGTAATGTTTTAGATAAATTATATTGCTTGGTATTGTTCCTATACCGCCAAGGAATTGGGGCATAGGGAGAATACCAAAGGGTTTTCTGCTAAGGAATTAGAGTTAACTAATCTTTAAAAC